AAAAAAAAAAAAAAAGAGGTAAATCAACCTCTTATTTGCCTCTTATTGTTTTTCAAACCCTCAACAACGACGTTTCTCATGATTAAAATTAACCGATCATTTCTCCAAATCAATATGCACGTCTCTCAATTAATGTATTTTAATAAGATTTAAATGTGTTAAATACGTTAATGACATATTTTCATTCAAATGAATGCTAATTATATAACTTAGATGTAAATTTCGTAATGAAAATGAATAAATATGTGAAATTGTATAAATTTTATTTATAAAGTCAACAATATAATTTTTTAATGGGTAAAATAAACAATTTAACAAATTCAAACGTTTATCAATTTACAAAAAACAAACAATCTTATTGATTCAAATTTCAGACGTCAGCACCACCTCTTATAAACCAGAAGTGAAATAAGACTTCAAAATTCAGCTCATCTTAAAAAAACAAACGCCACCTAACAGTTTCAGATAATTCCTTAACTGTTATTTTGCAACAGATTTATAAATATAACGACCAGGATCATTCTGCTTTCAGTACCTTTTAACAGATATAGTCATGCAATTCTTGAAACGTTAATTAAATGTTAAAAATTACAAGATATTAGGTGTGCCCTTCAGATATCATCGGTTGAAGTTATCTTATAATTATTAAAATAAATCGATACATAATTAAATATATATATATATATATTAATAAAAAAATAATTTATAAATATAGAAAATGATGAAAGTTAATTGGTAGGGAATAAAATAATAAATTATCCCTGCAAGGGCCCTGCATATTGCGGTGCCATTCGAAGATGTTGATAAAAGATGAGGCAAAATGGGGGCTCAAATAAGTGGAACACCAGGGGTAAAATAGTAATTCAATAAAAAAAACAAATTTAAGTATGAGAATGAATATTATTTACATAAATAAATAAGTTGAACATGAAATTTGATAATAATAAAAAAAACAAATAAGTGTTTTTGAACTAGTGGTATCGTAGTCTTTGGTCTCCTGAGAGGTTAGATGTTCAAACCTTACTAAACATAAGGAGAATGTGTGAATTTATTTGTTGCATTTGTCGTATACAAATATTATATACTTAAAAAAAACATTATAGGTTAATGTTACATTTTCTTTGTTTTTTTTTAAATGTAGAGATATATTTGTTTGCTTATTTGTTTGTTTTAGAAAAGAAATCAGTATAATCGTTGGAGTAATATTTTATAAATTTTTAAAATTCTTAAAATAATATAGGTGTTAAAATAATTTTTTATATTTAATTTTTTTTAAAATAATATAACTGTTTAAAAATTATTTTAGAGTTTTTTTTCTTTTTTTTTTAATTGTAAAAACCTTAGAAAAATAAAAGTGGAATATTATTTTAATTTAAAAAACTTATTGCACTTGATGAAATTATCATGAAGTGGTCAACTTTTGCAAGTCCAATGCTTTTTTAAATATTAGTATGATTAAAATATTTTATTTAAATTAAAAACTACATCTTTTTAATTTGTGTTATATATAGGGGTCTAATCAAATAAGAACCAGATAGTTTGTGGTAACTGTAAGGTCTAATATAAGCCAATCATTTTTTATAATTAATGTTATTTACTAAAATAAAACAAATGATAAATTAATGAACTGTGTTGATTATTCAATTTAATTTAATTAGTTTAATATTTTAATTTACTTTAATTATTAAGGTGTTTTCATAAACTGAAGGTGTTATCGTTTGAAGTCTTTCATATATAATAGATGTTTTATAGTTTATATGAATATAAATAATAAAAAGACTACTAATTATTAATGTGGGGTTTAAACCTAATTATTTATTTTATCACAAATGATGCAATGTTTGAATATATCCCATCTTTTTATTTATTTATTTAAGTTTCTTTGATAATATTTAATAGTAATTTCGACCCATTTATTTAAAACGTGTCAATTTATGTTATATTTCATTTAGAAAATAGTATTTAAGAGGTTGTTTGTTTACCTATTAATAGTTTCATTAAGAGATAACATCTAAATCGTGAACAGGTGAATCTTGTTCAGCAAAAAAAAAATATGTCTCTTGATGATTCTAAAACCCCCTGAATGATTTTGTATAATGGGTCTCCTTTAACCATTAAGCGCCCTGATTTCATCGTAAACAATTATATTTCATTTTGCACTATATCATGGTAGTCTCTTAATCATTCTGACCACTTAATCGTTCTGCACCAAGTCATTCAGCACTGTCAAACAGCCTCTAAGTCTCATGTTTTTTCTGTTTTAAAGAATCTTTTGGAGATATTTCAAGAGTTTTTTTAACAGGTTCTTCAAAATTCAGAATGAAATTTAAAGAAAATTTATATTTATCTCTAAAAAAAATTCGATTTTGATAGAGTGGATTATGGATTTGGTTCTTGTGTATTGGTATTTTTTTTACTAGGGATCCTGTGATATTTTATTGTGGATTTGGTTAATGAAAATGAGAATGAATTTTGATTCCCCCAGTTTAATAATGAAAGAAAATTTGGGCTTTTAAGGGAATGAACTTATGTATAAAACAAACAAATTTTTTTATTTTCATTGTCATTAATTAATTAATATTTAATATTTTTAACCAAACACCCTCTCTAGGAATTACAGGCAACAAAATCGGGAATGGGAGCTTGAGTTATATGTGGGGGGCATTTGGTTTGATGGAATTGTTTTGAAAGATTCGGATTTCGAAGGATTTGAAAGGTTTATATGTTTGGTTCGTAGGATATGATTCTATTATTTATAAATAATTTATTAAAAAAATATAAATAATTATCGATATAATTAAATTATCTTTTTATTAATTGATTATTACAAAACGGATCTTTTTAACATATTTTTAAATATTATTATATAAAAATCTTATGAAATCACATGAAATACCAATCACCCTTATGTGGTTTCAAAATCTTATGTTTTGTGGGATTTTAGTGAAATTCCAGGAAATCCTTCAAACCAGACATGAGATTGGAATGAAATTCAATTTCACATCTTTCCAAATCCAGTCCAATCCTACAAACCAAACGGGTTAAAATTCGAAGATTTTAAATCCGAATTGTCTTTCAAACCAAACACACGCTTGAAACGAAATTTAACTCCAAATACTACCAAATCTCGCAAATCAAATGGGTTCTCGAGGGTTTTATTCTCTTGTGTTTTTTCCTATGTATCTTTTTGGAATCTCCTTGTTGTACATATTAATGAAATGCATCGATAACCAACATGATACGAAAATAAATATAATTAAAAATTGTTTAAAATGATTTGAAAATTTTAAGTAGTACGAAATTAGGAGCCGTTTATCAAAAGTTTATGCGGGTAAGCACTTACCAAGTCACATTACCTTATCGGATGTATATGGCAAAGACCAAGAATCTTACCCGGTAAAAGCGAAGATAAGGATCAAGAGTCTTACCCGGTAAGTGAGGGCGACGACTCTTACCATGGTTAGCGCTTACTAGATAAATTGTTGCACATGATACCGTTTTTGTGAACTAAAATTTTACCCAATAAGTAAATGATAATGTTGAATTTTACCGGTAAACATTTATCCGAATAAACAATTGATAAACGGTATCTAAGTATCTTTGTTAATTTCCCCATGTTAGAAAAGAGGTTCAGAGCTTTTATCGTAATGGTGCAACCCCGATAAACCAAGGCAAATCTCAAAAGGACAATGCCACACTTTTGTAGCACGGTACTCTTAACTCTATAAGGCATGCACTATTAATATCAAACATCATCATAAAAAATCAAAACCAACCCTTTTCTTATGTGTTTGATAAACGGAACAAAACGAGACATGATAGTATAAATAAATTTGTCGCCCCATCAGTGACGGATCCAAAAACTTCTATGATTTGGGGCACATGTAGGGGTGTCAAAATCTTCCCAACCAAGATGGTTTTGGGTTATTTGATTTTTGGCTCAAACAGTTTGGTTAACCGAATATACATAACTTATTCGGTTATTGTTTTTACTATTTTGGTTAAAGCGAATAACATATTATACTAGTATTTATATAATTTTTACTATTTCCTCTAAGCTCAAAGCAAGTAAACGCGCTACACATTTATACAAAATTCGGGTCGAGGAGAGAACGAGAGTGGAGTTGTAGCTATGTGTTGTTGTGGAGAACCCATAATGGAGTGTGAAAAATCGAGTGGAGATGATATGTTGCCTATTGGAGATGCGAGAGTAGAGCACCGGAGCTGCTGGAGAAATCGAGAATGGAGATGTGAAATTGAAGAACAAATCTGAAAGTGAAGCAAGAAGTTGGAACTAGGACTATGGTCGTCTGTGCAAGAAATCGTCGTCTCATCGGTTTATTCGGATGGAGTGGGGGTCACAAATTCTGAATGTTTTTACATTCAACTCCAACATCTTTTCCATTTTAGACATTACAACATTTAAAAAATTTCATAACATTTAATAAAATATCATTTTTTTTCTTCCTCACATTTAATTTTAAGGTTTTTTATTGACGAGAATATGATGAAAAATTATTTGTCATGGTAATCATTTATTTTTGGGAATTTTTTAAATTTAGAAAAGAGTAAATTATGTTATTAGTCCCTGTAGTTTGTGGAAATTTTCTCTTTTCATCCTTATGATTCTGAAATTACGATTTTTATCTCCATGGTTTATAATTTATTACTTTTTTTGTCCTTATGATTTAAACTTTATTGTTTTTTCTTCCTCGTGGTTTATAATTCATTTTTATTATAGTCCTTCATACATTTAGCCTTAGGGATGCACATAGAAACGAATTGCAAGCCATAGGGACGAACTGAAATATTGAAACCACAGAGATGACATTTGCAACTTTTAACAAACCACAGGGATGAAAATGTAATTTACCCTTTTTAGAGAATTTCATGGACATGCTCTAAAAACCTATTAACTAATTAAAATACTCATATGATCAAATACAAAGTTGGAAGTTAGCAAGAATTCACACCTGAACTGTGCCTTTGGAAACTCAATCAGGCACAATATCCTTCAGCAAAATTGCCAGGACCTATTTTTCCACCATAACAGAAAAGAGATAGTTATAGTTCATATTACAAGTGTGAATATATAATAACTACAGTCTACAGCTCAAGCAATAAATAAATACTAATCAAGCATTATTCACATGTGAATATACATATATGCACATAATCAGCAACAGACGCTTCTTCACAACAACTTGAATACACGAAAATATTTGTATGGAGGCTTTTAGCGTCTGATTTAGATGATTTTGAGCATCAAAACGAATAGGGCTAGATTTCATATTTCACATACGTATCATGATCGCTTATCGTTATATAGGTTCTGCATTGTTGAATCTTTCTTTAGCCTCTAATTTCAGCAGTAGTGATAAGGGGTTCAACAAGACGGTCATGATTTGCATTATAATTTGCGGGCACCAGCGCTGGGTCCTGGTAAGCTGCACGAAGTTGCTCAAGAAAACGAGGCATTGCAGGATGATGTTGATCTTCTCGATCTTTCTTTAGTAATGTCTACAAACACGAAAAGGGACATCGGGAAAAAGAATTTAGTAGTAAGAAACTCATGGAAGTGAAGGTCATGATCCAAGAATCCTACCTTCAATATCTATCCAGTTATCAATATATAACGAAAGCATACTGATTAATGTTCTGTCTTTTGCAATGATGATACATGTTTTTACCTTCCTTTTCAACCACGTTGTGGCGGTAAATTTTTACCTTCGTTTTGAATCACTTTTAATCTCACCCCCACCCCGTGAATTGCGCTTCTCACGGGGATTGATCCGGTGCATCTCATTAGTGTTAATCTTCAATTAGGATTGATCCAAGGATGGAGATCCCTTCTTACCCTTCTCACCGTAACTCTCATTCTCACTAGAATCCACCCATATATATAAGCGTTTATTTTACAAACCCAACCATTAGTACAAATCAATCTCAACCTTTAATCTAGTCTAATGAATATCTTGATTATTTCCTAATATAAAACGTTGATCATAATAAATGAACTCTGATAATATTCCATATATCCAAATCATAATAAATAAACTCTCATCATTTCTGTAAATATCTCAATTAATTGGTTTTTATGGTTTGTACTAATAAGGTGGTTTGCAAATTATCCGCCCTCTCTCTCTCTCTCTCTCTCTCTCTCTCTCTATATATATATATATATATATAGGGTAAGGTTTAGGGGAAACCCTCAAAAAATGAAAAACTAAAAAACACCCTGGTAACTGATCGAGACAGTATGCACATGTGCATACAAGTACTTTATAAGCAGTTTGTCTGGTATGCACATGTGCATAAAAAACAAGAAGCAACTTCAATTACTTGTACGCACATGTGCATACTTTCCAGATGAATGGTTACCAATGTGTTCCTCAGTAGTTTTTTTTTTTGGGTTTCCCCCTAAACTTCCCCCTCTCTATATATACACACTGTGTGGTCATTATCGTATTCTAGTGGTAGGTAAGTACTTTGTGGTTTTCCTTTCTGTGTTTAATTGATTCCTTCATAGCAATACAAGAAAACAGCAGCCAAGCAACAAAAAGCTAAGGAGCCTTAGTGCACCAGGATTACCTCTATTTGAACCAAGATTGGTATTTATGGTCTATCAATCTACACATAAATGGGAAGAATGATACATCACTTATAATATATTAACCAACATACCTCGGTTGAATAGGCCATAAAAATAGGTAGAAAGCGCTTTCGGCAATATTCATTGAAGAGAAGTGTGAGAACCGGAAGAGGGATAGTTACGGTGGTTGCATAAGGAAGCTTCTTCAGAGTAAAAATTCCAAATGCTATGAATTGCATCAGGACAAGAGAGAAAATAGTAGTATCATGTACAGTTGGCCAGAATTTCCCACCAGATTCATACTTGGGCGCATATACATTTAGAAGCTGCAGGTAAATGTAGCACCTTATCAAAGTGAATCAAGTTTGCTCTGTAGATTATATCTACCATTGTTATCTAGAGCACAATATTAACAGCTTGCTTATCATCTTTGCAGCGGACCCAAATATATGCAATAAGTTTTTAGTAGTAGTTACCATAAATGACCCATATCTTTCCACATATAATCCAATTTCTACATGTTGTCAAAAGGAGAAATTTACAAGTTGGTAATATGAAAGACAGTCACCAGGCTGATTCCTTCCTTAAATGAACTATTACAGTGCCTTTCTTATTAGTTAGAACATTATGAACCCATTGACATCTTAAAAAATTTAAAGCTTAAAGGTGAAATATAATAAAAGGCTACCCTCAAGATATGACAATTGACTGAACTAAATAGTTGCATAAGGTAATATTTGTATATTTGACATCATTTTCCCTATAAATGGTAATGTGTCTAACTACTTGCTTATTGAACATCCGGCTGTTCAGTAGTCAAAAGTACTTTCTTTAACCTCGAGAGAAATGGCTTTTGCAGGTTAATCTGTGAGAATACGTGGAACCCCCAAATCACTCTCCAAAAGAGCCCTTGAGGAGAAAGGGGAGGTTCCCAACATATATAGAGAAAAAATCGTTCAAGTCTAGCCAATAAGGGACTCCAACACGCCCCCTCCAACAATGGCTGGATGGACACAAATTGTCCCAGAGTGTCAAGAAGGGGCTAGGGTGTCGGGTCCCTAGAGTGAGAGACGTGGCTCTGATACCATGTGTAATATGTGAACTCCCAAATCACTCTCCAAAAGAGCCCTTGAGGAGAAAGGGGAGGTTCCAACATATATTATAGGGTCATGATAAAATGACCTAATCATTGTGCTTACATTTGCCCTTTTCCCTTGAAAAAGAATGCCGTGATGAAAAAGGCTTCATCTACCACAGGGAGATGGAAGGGCATAATGTAACAGCCTCTTTTGCACCGGACCAGATCTAGAACCGTTCTCAACAGTTTGTGTAGCCATAAATCCTATTGTATTCATTGGAATCTAAAAAAGCAAATCACTGCCGACTAATATTATCCTATTCACTGTCTAGAGGAATAAAATCTCAGAAATTCAAACAGACTTCATTCAATTTATGGAAGCAGTGTTAAATTTGTGAAAAACTATGACTTAAAAACTTAAACTAACCTGGTTACGGTAAATGATGTATGCAAGAGAAAAGTAACCCAAGAGAAAGGGAATGATCAAAGGAGCCAGGAAAAAGTATGTAAATCCCAAGAGTCCAAAGAAAAGAATCTTTGGAATGTCCTGATGATAAGGAAAAGACGGAACTTTGACGTCATCATCTGAATTCCTGGCAAAAGGTTTACATAATAGGCTTCCAATGAAAGGGACCACACGGAAGAGTTCCGATGAAGTGCTGGTCCATCCTAGTGTGACGACATAAGCAATGAAAAATGATGCCTGCAAAAGATATCAAGCAAGTGACAACAGAGAAAATACAGAGTATCTTGGAATGACTACAATTCCAACCAAAGATAACGACGGATTTAAACCCAATCATTCAATCAACGAATAACCATCTGCTGCTGAGATGCATCAAGTACTGGATATCTTCGTTGGAAACAGCATCAAACTCTATGACTTCAAGAAAGTTCCCTTTAATATTTGCATTTGTTTTATAGAAGGTTCTAAATGGTGTAAGGCGTGGCTGCAATGTCAAGCCTCAAGCCTTGTGAGCCACGACGTTTTCAAGGTATGGTGACAAAATGTACAAACCATAGATCTGGGGTAGGATGTACACATACCTTACCTTTACCCCAAGAGGTAGAGGCTATTTCTGTGAAGACCCCCGGTAAGGTGACAAGTGTGTATATACATAATATATGTACATATATGTTTCTACTATTAGTCAATGAGATTGACATTGAACAATTTAAATATGTATAAAACTTGAAGTAACACAATTTTTTAAAAACAAGAAAGAAAGAGCCTCGGTAGAGCCAAGGCGCTCCATGACGGCACCTCGCCTTAAACACCCACTATGGGGGTTAATAGGACGTGGGAGGCACACCTTTTAGAACATTGGTTTTATATGGTGTTGAGGCCTCAAAGTAAGCTTTTGCTGGGACTTTTATGCTTTTCTCTCAGTTCTCTTAGCAGTAACGTAGTAGACTTCTCCCTCAAATTGTAATATGAGCTATGAAAATAATCATGGTTATGTTACACCAAAGAATGTAATATGATATGTTGTTTGGCCCGCTTCTCACTTCAATTAGTGGCAGGTATATTTAAGAATTTATGCATATGGGAAATTGTTTTACCTGAGAAGGGACATAGACAGCAAGCTTTGAAGGAATATCCTTGACCTCGAGAAAGATGAATAGTAGTCTGAAAGCCGAGGCAGATAGAACATTGGCGAAAAAAACATTCCACACTGTAAACCAAATTACTTTGTGACAAGCACTCCTTTCAATCTCGCTAATAGAAATATATCCTTGCGCAGAGGATATAATTTTCATGATGGGAGGAACTATCTTCAGTGACAACTGAAGAATGAGATTTGGAAGGTATCCTGTAATTACTTGACTTACAATAGACCTGCAACATTACAAAAGATTTTCAAGGTGATGCAGTGTACAGTATATTCCATGTGGTGACACAATTCATCTTTTATCAACATGTGATGAGCTTAAATCTACATAGGTCATAACCATAGACATTTGTTTTTCAATTTACTTAATTATTTGTATTTAGGGGTGTTATATTGAATGTCACATATCGCCCTAAAGAAATATTTTTTGACTTCTGCATATCTTAGCTAGCGTTTGGTATGCGTACCGGACCACAGCGGACCACACTGCACAAGTTGTTTGTCTAGTGTTTTGCACGACTAGGACCGGGCTGGACAGGTTGCTCCTAAATGTTATTTAATGATTTTATATGGTGGTTCCTGATGGTAGTGAAAGAGGTGGCCAGCGGTGGTGGTGGTAGTGGAGGTAGAGGCGGTGGTGGCCGGTAACCGACGGTGGTTGAGGATGACGTGGAGATGGTAGATGGTGGTGGTGGCCGATACTGGTGGATATGGAGGTGGAGGTGGAGGTGGAGGTGGAGGTGGAGGTGGAGGTGAAAGTGGAGGAGGTATAGGGGGTGGTGGTGACCATTGAATCAAATATCATATGAGGATTATATAAAATAAGGGTAGATTAGTAGCTTTTTAGTTTTGTTCCATCCTTGTTCCACCTACTTTGTCGGAACAAAAAAAAAGGCTTTTTTGTCCCATCCAGTCCCACCATGTCCCAGTCCCATGTCACACCAAACTTGGAATATTGAGTTTTTGTCCTGTCCCACGTTGTGGTAAACGTGGAACAATGAGTTTTGTTTGTCTTGTACTGTCCAGTCCCATGTACCAAACGCAGCCTTAATTAACAGCAAAAGGATTGCATTAACATATCTATTGCGGTGGTACAAGGGAAATGAACTATGTTGCAACTACCCTGCTTTATGCAATTTACATTGCCAGGAAGTGTTTTCACATATCCACAGTTATTTTTGGAAATACGAGTTCACATTAGCCACACTAAAAACTAACAATAAAAATGGCTTATCAGCTTTCATGTTGCATACAGTTTTCAAAACAAGTTTGAGTTTTAAAGAAACTGCTTACATGGTTAGGATGCCTTTCAGAAAGGGAAAGTAAGTTTCCAACTGAGCAAGATTTGTAAGTCCTTGCACAATAAATACTGGAATAAGGAACAGAACTGTAACAAGCATACACGAGCCAATGACCGTCAGTTTAGAAATCCATCTTCCCATGAATGTTGTAGAAAAGAACGGCCAATAGACATCTTGTGGCTCAGGTGCTTGCTCAGTTAGCCACTGGGTGGGATTGTTTGCTTGTAGCATGTGAAGAGCGATTGCAGCACCGTAACGGGACTTAAAAGACACAAAGGCAGCTCGGACTTCCTTTCTTATCAATAAAAGAAAGAGAAACAGAAAATTATTAAGAACGGAAAATAGAGATACCATGTAATATAAACAAAACTAAGCTGCATCACTCATGAAAAAGTCAAACTAAGGTATTGATCATAGTGCCAGCACTTACGAATGGTAAAAGTTTCTGCAATAAATTGCAAAAGTATCCGGCACATGAAGGATTGTTTGCTAGAAAAGCTAAAGCTAGGATAAAACAGAAAATTGATCCCTTTATTTCCTTTTCTATTTGTTCTTCTTTCTGAGCTGAAAAATGAGAAAGGGGGATCCGGACCAACAACCTCCATGGAATTACCACCTATGAAGCAGAAGCAGGTCTGTGCGTCGGACACTATCCAAGCTAAAACATGCTTCAGGGCATTTTGTTCCTTCTATTAGTAAATTGGAGACAACTACGAGGTTGCACATAGTAGCAATATAGTTTTCTACTAAATTTATATACTTGGAGGCAAGTGGTAGAATTACTCCTTTGGATAGAAAGTCGCAGGTTTAGAGTCATGAAATAGCATATTTGTAATTAAGAGGGAAGTGTGTAGAAAGACTCCCTCCCCAACCCTTACTGAGCCAAGTAGCCTTGGTGCCACAGCCCATAGATAAACCCTTTTTATTTATGTGATTGACTTGTAGCTTGCTTTCAAATGTTTGTTCGTTTGTTCAGGGGACTTTTTTTGAACAAGTAGTTATAACACAGAGCACGACTTCAAAAGTTCAAAACACATGATTACTAAAATTAGGGTAAACAATGCAGAAATAAGCAGTTAACCTCACTTGGCCTCACACTTCAGCCAAAGTACATTATTTACTACATGACCGTCCATAGAAATATCCTCCAAAGAAAATTATCTTAAATCTATTTTGTAAAATGATGCAATATGAAGCTGTGCATTCCCTGCAAATTGGTGTGTAATCTTTGTGTTTCCTATGAAACTTCATATATTTTTTTAAAGAAGGCAACTAGAAAGAAAAAAAGAACCACAAACATCCATGTCAACAATGTGTGTGCGCGCCCGCATGTATGCAATACAGCATCCTAAAAACGAGAGAGCAGTACCTCTCTTGAGTCGTCCGTTCTTACATTCGCCTCCTGGTCATCTAACTTCTTTTCATGGTGATTTATAAGATTGACTTCATGTTCCAAAAAACCATCACGTATGAACTGGGGCTTAGTTGGCACCTTTCTGAAATTGATAATCATTCTGTAGAGATCCTTTGCAGCATTCTGGACAAAGTTATTAAAAAGACAATAAATCCTACTAGCAATTTGTTATCGTACAGAATTTGGTAGATATCACTCTGAAATTGAGGCTGAAGAGAGATTACTTGACAATGTACAAGTTGTAGAGGATCCAAAGCTACAAGGAATCATGCACCTGAGGCGAATTTCTTGACAACAGATTTACTAAATTCAATTTTAAGCCATGACAGAAGAGGAGGGTTTGACAGGCATGCTAACATCACAGTCAACTGAACAGTTGAATATGCCTACTTGTGGCCTGTGGGTATAATTTCAAATTTTAAGACCACCTAATTACTTAAGGGAAAAGGCTCCTCTTATTACATCTTTCGTATGAAAAATCTATCAGGTACAAACTGTAGGATATTGACTTCCTAAACTTATTGACATATTTCAGGAAATCATATGAACTCAAATAGGCTACTGGGCAGCTGGCTACAAACTCAAAATAAATCAGTGCAATTTTGACATTATTGTTTCTGGATTGGATGTATAGTATCACCATCTATGCCATTGAAGGCCAATTATGCCAAATAGCACAATGGTGCAAGGTAGAAGGAGCCATGTGTACCAAGTTTACACATGAAAAGCCTTTTAGATCAAGAAATGTCAAGGATTGTACAGGTAATGGGTGGATTGTTCAGACATATCTCTCGTATTTATATTATAGAAAGAAACATGTGGCTCCAATCCAAATAGTGCATTGGGGGATAAACACCAAATAGTGATGTGCTCATCCAACGACACAATGCTCACAGGATAAGCTTGTCATGCGAAGATACTAAAAATAATTGTGTACTATTACAAGCAAATCAGATCTTCTAGAATTTTGATGACCTTTCAAATCCCAAGTGAGGTGCAGAAAGACAATTCTTTGAACGTGGAAAATAATGGACAAAGGGTAAAAAATATGAGCATAGCTACTTACAGTGAGAGTCCAAATTTTGCTCTTTCGGTGAACCACCACATTAGATAGATACGTGACAGGATGATATTCAGTGAAAAAGTTTTCAACACTGTTGCCAATACTGCTCCCTGACGGAACAGGTATGTTGCTAACTAAGATGGTGAATTGATGAGGTTGAAGTTCAGATGCACAGAAATAAGCAATCCTCTTTGAAGATATATATTTGTATTCCTGAGGGATGAAAGGTAAGATCATTAATCTCAATCAAGCATCTGATTTACAGGATGCAGAAATTTGCACACATCACAAAGTGCCCAAAAAAGTCTAGACAACCAACTCCTACGTGTTGGGAAGATAAATCCTCTACATAATAAAATGGCAACTCTTGATTTTGTTTAGCCAAAAAAGACATCAAAATCTTGGTGTCCACATGCATGAGATTAAGTGGTTTTAAAGTATAATTTCTCCATAATTTTTGCTGATGAAAAGAAAACAAAATCAAAAGGTTGAACCGTCAATCACACAGTTAGGGAACAAAAAATAATTTGGGTAAGAATCCTAGAGAATAGCAACCTTTTCTACAAACCTAATCTAGAATAATACCTAACTGACTAAGCTTAATTATTTACTTTACGAGTTTACGTAATACACTTAATAATAAACTAATCTCCTAAAGTTGATTTGTGTATGGCTTGTATAGGAGATCTTCGAAGAATGGTTTCGGCAAACCTTTTGTAAGAATGTGAGCAATTTGTTGCTTGATGGGATCACACATCATGCACGCACAACCATTGTCAATCTTTTTCTTTATAAATGTCGATCAACTTCTACGTGTTTAGGATGGTCATGGTATACCAGATTGTGTGCAATAATCATAGCTGGCTTGTTATCATAGTATAGCTTCATCGGTGTTGTATGAGGCATTTTCAATTCCCTTAGGACTCTAGGTAGCCAAATACCCTCACATAACCCATGGGACATAGCTCGGAACTCGAACTCGGAGCTACTTATGGCGACTACAGACTACTTCTTGTTGTGCCATGTCACCCGGTTACCCCATACGTACATGTAGTAGCCGGTAGTTGGTTGTCCATCACATGTCAAACCAACCTAATCAGCATTAGTAAATACCTCGATGGATCCACTGTTTACCACAAATGTGATGTCCAGCCATTTTGTAAGAAAGATGAATCAACTTTCACCAATCTTTGATAGCTTTCCTTGTCTTCTGATCTTCACTATCATCCTGAGCTCCTAGTTTATGTTTTAGTTCCATGGGATTCTCTGTCCGTCGACATCCCAACATACTTGTCTCTTCTAGTAAATCAAGGGTGCGTTTACACTATCAAATAAAGACACCATTATGATTATGTGCAACTTCTATACCTAAGAAATACTTTAGGGATCCTACGGTTGAAATTCAGTGTTGAGGTAGAGCTTCAGCCAATCAATCTACTTATAGTCATCGCTGGTGATAATCATGTCGTCAACATAGACGATAAGTAGTGCCAAATGCCTATGGAACGTCTTGTCATCGGTTTTACCCTTGTTGGTAGTTGGTACCCTTAGATGACTGCTTTTGAGAACCAAATAAACCATGTTCTAGATGACTGATTCAACCCATACAGTGCAGCTTTTAATTTGCATACTTTGCCTTGTAGAACTTCCATGTAAATGTCTTCGCTCAAGTCTCCGTTGAGACAAACTTTCTTCACAGTAAATATAGAAACAAGGCAGATAATTTTCTGCAAACAAACAGTACTACCCTTTTACTTGCAAAGCTTTGACTGGGACCATCAGTCTATCAGACAACATCGGAGGACTGCTGGTGGCAGAGTCTACCATAAAATATCATGACGGACTTGGAAAGATTAGGGAAGAGGATGGACATAAGACTAGGAGAGTCTGGACTAATTTGACAACTGAAACAACTAATATACACAAGGAGGATCTAACTGTTTCCTAGAGAATACCACCTGTTTCTACAAACCTAATCTGGAATAATATTCTAACTGCCTAACCTTAATTATTTATTTTATATAATACAATTGATAATAATAAATAATTTCCTAGTACAAGCTAACATGCATTTAAAAGGCAGCCCACATTGCACCAAGCCATAGTTCATAAATTCTAGATGCATAAAAATAAGTAAGAGGAATAGTTACCGTATACAGAAGATAACACGCAATAATGGTGAGAACATATACAGCACCTAAATGTATCCATAAACTGCAAGAAGATTCCAACTCAGATGTCAGATTTCTTCTCACCCTTCACAGTATACCACAGGTAAACACACACATCTGATGTGCATGATATGATATCAAGTCACCACATATTAAATCTGACAAGTGGAAAAGTATCATGTACCACTCAATCTTTTGAGCATAATCAGAAATCATCTGCTATTTCCACACTCACAATACAAGTTGATGACATAACAAGGGGGGATGTCCAATAGAACACTAGGCAAGTTTTAATTGAGCCGTTATTAACAGTAATTCTGTCCCAATCCTCCCTAGAACCCAAATGACCTAACTGTCTGAAAAGCAGAATTACATCTACTGATATCAGAAATGGTTGCATCCTTAAAGTTACTTTTACATCACCTGACATCTTCCAGTTGGGGAGAGAGAAAATGTTACCTGTTTGAGCCATTGTTTACGTTTGAAATGCTAAATAGTTCCAATGAATTGTTTGTTATGTTTGCAAAGTCGATATCTTGCAGCTGATTTCCCGAGCAATTCACAGGAATTAGAATAAAGATTCCAATAAATCCAGCAACAGTGAATATTTTAAAGCTGCAAATAAGAAGCACATCGTGCAATAAACATGAACCTCAAACAGTAGGAAAAGCAGAAATCAGAACTTTCATATGTAATTGGGTTTGAAAAAGCAAAAGCACGCACATATTGCTAGTGCATTAATCTGCCTCTTTGAGGATTGATGCCAACATTATTGATTATTTTGAGAAATTCATTTGTTGGGACGCTATTTATATGCCTCTCAGGCAACAAACAGAAGTTTAAGCCCCCAGGTTGTGTTTACTACTAGATAATAAGAGCACAATTGATGAAAAATGTAGTTGACGTGCAATGCAACAAGCTACATATGAAAATTGATCTGGTGCTTATGACAAGGGTATAGGTTCATGTTTTTCTTTGACTAATGATAAGCTGGACTGTTTACCCTTGTCAACATGAAGATCGGAGTGTGAACCATGGTAATATCATGAGTAGGCAATGCTTACGCAAAATGAAATGCAGTCTGTAAGACGTAATCACCTGAAGATGATTATTCGCATAAATACCACAGCATCAAGTCCTGAATATGACAGAAGTTGCTCTTCTGAAGGCTGCCATGCACTTTTCAACCAGCCAGCAGTAGGTAACAGCCTATATAATTTGAAGCGACTTGGTCGCTGGGTTTTCCCCTCAGCAAGCAATCGAGGAGCATATACTTTATAATTGCCAGGTTGTTTCCTCAAGACCGAATACAAGACGAAGAAGATTATACAAAGTGCAAAATTGATTCCAACAGACGTTAGAAGACCAGAGACAATCATTTGGTAATCCCAAACCTTAGCCGAAGAAACTCACAAATTAGTGAGAACCAACAGCAGAGCTGCATAGAGATTAGGAGTGTAAATAAGGGTGCTCAAATTACAAATTAGTACTGCACAAACATTTGAAGTAACTATAAAAGCTAATAAGATTCATAAGCAAAGTCATCACCTACTGTTATGAAGGGGTAATCTAGTATTTGTTCAAGAAAACCAGTAAGTAATTTTTCTGTTGGCAGTTAGTTTTTCTGTTTTTGGGCGATGGCATGCATCTCTACAAATAGATATATTGTACAAATTTTTAGTTTCTTCAGAAATTCTAAATTACTCGATCCTTCCTTTTCCTTTGACCACAACCATATAAAGAGCATTTCTTGAGTTTTCACATCAGATCCTTATTCTGCTTTCATAGTAACAAATAAACACATAAATCTAAATCTAAATCTAAAATTTTAAAGGAATAGAAACAAATCAACAACGGTAAGTTGGTAACGCACTAGATTTTGGTCACCATGAAACTCAAACATAGCGTTGACTAACTGCTTATTACAGAATCATAGCAAAAGTAATTCAAGAGCTTTAACAGCCCTAACATACAATTACAAATCGATCTTGTGTGCGTTTTAAACTCAATAGATTCCATGATGCACAATTTCACAAACAAACAACAAACTAATAATCAATCATTAAAAATTCAATCGAGCAAAACACGGACCAGTATATTGTTTGATTGACAGGCCTAATCGTCTTCACAGAAGTACCATGATTTAGTGAGAAATCGTACCTAGCCTCTCGTCCAGACCTAGCGGCGCTTTTCAGTTGCATCATAAACAAAATAATTACATACGAATATAGTATGTATTGAATATGCCTTTTGAACGTTGACTAGTTGTCTGGCTTTGGCCGATTGGTGGTGGTGCCGGAATTGAGTATGATCGGCGGTCAAAACCAGGTCGGAAGGTGGAAATCTAACAAAAGCGGGTAGGTATGGTAACGTGTTGACTTCCTTTCTTCCCTGCAGATCCTGCTCAGGTATGGGTGTCGATGCCTTGAAAATTTTAGAAACCAATTGGCTCCAAAAACCTCCGGGTATTTTGGAACAAGTAGCCAATGGCCCCTCTGTATGATTTGGCCGTAAGTTTTTCCAAAAACCACGTAATTGGAAGTTATTTCTATTTATCTAGGAATGTTAGAAACATTTATTATAAGAAAATCGATTTAAATAGTTATGTCCGATTACCAAACATTTATCCGAGTAAGCATTTATCAAGTCACATTATTTTATTGGATGAATATAATAAGAACCGAGAATCTTACCCGGTAAGAATGAGATAAGAACCAAGAATCTTATCCAGCAAGTGAGTGTGACGACTTTTATCATGGTTAGCGCTTACCTGATAAATTATTCAATACAATGTCGATTTAGTAGACTAAAATCTTACCCAGTAAATAAGTGATAGTGCTTAATTCTACTAGTAAGCGCTTACTGGGTAAGTTTTTAGTAATCGGACTCTTAATCTTGCCAACTGAATTTATTAATTTAATCATGTTTTCAATCAAATTCTTATTTTAGTTAGAGTTTATATAAATATTTTATGTATTTATATAAAGCTTATATATAAATCTAAAAAAAACTTTATGCAAAATTGGATAATTTGCATAAAAAAAATTAATCTGAAAATAAACTTTACACAAATATTTTTAGTTAAAATGAGAATTCGAATTTAAAAATGGCTAAAAAGTGAATTTAATTGAAAAGATGACTATTTTGATCAATTTTCTTTATTATACTCTCTCTTACCTGTGATGAAATGTCCATATATATAGTATAATTTATTTTAAAATAAGTATCCATTTTCAAAAAAATTTAAATGGATAATCAAAAGTCAAAATCTTATAAAAAGGTAAAAAAAAAGTACGGTCCTCTTCGATAGATTTCCTATTTTATAGAATCCAACATTGATTATAATATTTAAAATATTTTATTCATTTGTTAATATATTATTTTTTTCTCTAGATATTTATTTTCAATCAAAGTTTCTTATTAATGAAACCATATTAAAAATATTTTTTAGGTGTTCTCGGTGTTTGAAGGATAAAACTCTAGTTTGAAGATGGTTTAAGAGAAGGGAAATTGACTCAAATAGTCATTTTCATTCATTTAAACTGGTCTTTTGGTCATTCTTCTCCGAGATTTACCCAAATGTCACTATATCCGTAATATTGTGTACCTGGCTAAAAGACAGGAAAAAAAATATCAGATTCAATCCAGGTACGCATAGTCATGGGAATGGGGCGGGAACCTCATTCCCAATCCACGTCCCCAATTACTCGTCTCTTTTCCCGTCCCCGTCCCCATCCCCAATAGGGAACGGAGAAACGGAGAATTTTTTTCCCATTTAGTAAGTTATTTCAAATCAAATATGTGAGAGACCACATATGTTTAAATCTGAAATATTTTCAATAAATCTAAAACGAAATGAATTTAAATTTAATATAAAAAATCACAACATCATACAATAATTAGTAACCTGAAACAAAAAGAAAATTCAATTTAATCCAAAATAACTTAAAGTCACACGTACCAAAAGATATTGAGTAATATAAAACCATATCGAGTAATTGTATTTTGACTTGACATCCAAAATATTACATATTAACATTCAAGAAATAACAATTTTAGATTCTAAACCTAGTTAGAAAATAAGAAACTAATGAATTACCGATTTAATTGAAATAAACAATATAAATATATACATAATTAATTAATATATATATATATATATATATATATATATATATATATAACAGATACAGGGCAGGTGGATAGCACGATATTCGTCCCTGTCCCCATCCCCAGTTTGAGACAAACGGGATCCCTGTCCTCGTCCCCATCTCCAGTTTGAGACAAATGGTATTCATGTCCCCGTCCCCATCTCCGGTTTGAGACAAATTGGATCTCTGTCCTCGTCCCCATTCCCGATTGGGGACAAACACGATCCATGTGTCCCTGTCCCCATCCCCTATTTAAGAAAAAGGGTTCCCCATCCCCGATCGGGTTTCCCATGGGTCGAGGTCCACTCCCATGCGTAGGTACGTACGTCTCATAGTCATTATTCTCTCAGGTTTACCTAAATGTCAATACGTCTGCAATATTGCAGACTTGGCTAAAAGACATAAAAGAAAATCATCATATTCAACCTAGGTATGCAGTTGTGACAGCTAGGTCCGCAATTACGAAGGTCAGGTCCGCTGCCACTTGCATACGTAGTAACATTTGGATAAAAATTGTGGATTGCGGACATAGTGACATTTAGGTAAACCCATGAGAGAAATGGCTAGGAAACCAATTTGAATAGGTGGAAATACAAGGGTGGTGCCTGATTGGTTTGAGTTTGGGCTCCAAAGGTCAAATGTGCCTCGAGGTCCAAGTTTAGATCCAATGAGGAATAAAAACCCTCCCTTGTGGCCACGGAGATTCAAATGCGGTGGTGACTTCGCACCTTCAAAGCAGGTGGTCGCCCCGGGATTAATTGACTCACATAGCGAATTAGATATCCAAATTAAAAAAAAAAAAAAAAGGTGGATTGAATATTTATGTCAATTTCCAGTCAGAATTTGTTGAAAAAACTTCAATAAAGAAATATCAGTTCCACAAAGTTAACATTATTTTCGTAACTGCAAGTAAATTTTAAAACTGAAGTATTATGCAAGGGCCGTGCGAGCACATGCCCCCACTACCACAAATTACGACGTAGGCTCGACCACTTGGGTCGACCATAGGCAAACGCCTTTCCCAAGTGCAACGGAAGTTGCCAACATAGACCATAGACCTTCTTGATTGCTCATTGACCCCATCCAGGTAAGCATAGTTTTCAATGACCCCTCTTCTTTTTAATATAAGCCCCACTCATTTTCATTTTCATTTTCTTTCTCTGTCGATGTGGGATTTCCCTCTCCTTTTCACCCTGCCCTTTCTAAGCACAAATAAAGTGTAGTAGTTTCATATGAGAATAAAATAAAATGTCCATTTAGTAAAAAAGAATGAAATATCTAATTTTCTTAATTAAATTCACTTTTTATTTTGTTGGTCATTTTTAGAACCGAAGTCTTAATGTCAGATTAAAATAAAGGAAAAAAAATACACAAATTTACGTATGAATATCCATTTAGGTAAAGAAATTGTGTAAACAAAATTTTCAATATAACAATAGGTTTTACGTAAATGCATAAGACATTTGCATAAACTCTGGTAAAGAATACCTATTATAATATGGATTTATGTGGTTTTGAGCAAGTAATAATGTTTTTTTTTCTCTAAAATATAGATTTGAATATATCATAAAAATTAAAAATAATATATAAAACTTCTCATATTTTTTTTGTGTGTAATTTCTTTAATTCAGTTGTTATTTTATAATTCAATTTAAGTTTAATGACAAATTAATTTGTTTTAGTTTAAAAGATAATAACTAAGCATTCTGTTAGAACTCAATAATTATTCTAATTATATTTTAGATATATTTAAAATGAGAATTTTATCTTGTATTTGATTATATTTATCTACAGTTAGTTACACGAATTCAAGTATGGAGCTTAATAAGTTGTATTTATGCATAATTACTTGTAATCTTAAAATTGTAAGTAAGATGCATCAATAAACAGTACTTTGTGTATAAAAAATGGTTTTTAAGAATTTTTGTCAAATACTTTATAATACAGTATAGATAAAGTCATTTAAAAAGTTATAATAGTTAATTTTTAAGCTCAAATCGACACTTAAATCCAAGTCATGTTAACGATGCTTATTAGTATTGAAATCTCATTCACATATATAGTTGCCATATAATCCAAATTTTGTATTCAAATTCACAAATTGTTTTCAAAAGAATTCAGACATATTATGGAACTGATTAATAGGTGGTCATAAAATAAATACAAAACTATAATATTCACACATCTTCTTGGATTTACGTGCAAACGACACCAAGTGATGCATTTATTTATAAAAGACAAACAAATTATCATATGATTATTTCATCCCGAGTGTGATTCTTAACTCAAAAGATGAAAGCGACTTCAATATGTAGCTTGCTAAGTCATTAAAGCAGGGGAAAATCTACATTACATTATAATCAACTTTGTGGACAGTCTTATTTGAAATCACTTGGAGATTAACAAATGTTAAATGTGATTTAATGAATTAGCCCGGCAACTTTTTGTGCAAGCTAGAAAGTCGGATTCCCACCTCTTACAATGGAAAGATTGAACGGGATTCAAATTCAAGCCAAATTTTATATCATTAAGCTATTATCAAACAGTCATATATAACCGATTGGGTATGTTGTGAGTTTCATTAAGCTCGTTAAGTTGCTAACAATTAAGGGTGTCAAAAATAATCGAAACAAAACAACTCATTGGAACCGAGTGAGAATGGGTTAAACGGATTCGGTTAAACCGAACAGGGACCCGGGCTTATTTGATTCTTATTCGGGCCGATTAGGAGAGCGAGTCAACACCGGTATTCGGAGTACCCGCGGATACTATAGCACGATCCACCTCCCGAGAATGTAACTGACGTTTAACAAAATCATCTCTTCATCAAGATCCTCCTCAAAAGACTCTTCATCGCTGTAAGTTTATCGATCTACACTTCCAATTACTGCTGTTATTGCAACTGAATTGATGCAACTAATTAAGATCCATTGCTTCTTTATTAATTGATCGGATCACGAATTAGGGTTTTACAAATTTGATGGAATTTTCTGACTGTTCAGATGTAAGAAGAAATTATTTGCTTCAGTTATGTGGATTTATGTTTTCAGTAATTGTTAGTGACTGGTTTATTGGATTACTTTTCCTTAGATTCGTTTAAGCGATTCGTTCAGTTCGATTGGATGATTTTGCTTTTTGGTAATTATCGGTTTATTTATGAACAATAGTTTTGGATTTGAAGCAGGTTGTGATTGAGGGGTATTTTGTTGAAGAGAGGCAGAGATGAGTGAGGTATTCGAAGGTTACGAGCGACAATATTGTGAGCTGTCTACGAACTTGTCCAGAAAATGTAGCGCAGCTGCTTCTCTTGTCGATGAAGGTATTTGGATATTTGGAACTCACGTTTACTGTCTTGTAACTTTGTTTCATCTGTTTGTGTTTATTCTTCATCGCCTTTTGCTTTATCAGTTCAATTATTTTTCATTATGGTTGTGTTTTCTCCGAGTATTTCGATCAGCATCTGTCCTTTTTATTTTGTTTCATTTGCCGTTTATAGTATCTTGTGCAAGTAGCATCAATGTTGGAAGTTTGGAAGTGTTCTCAGACTCTACACTTCGTTGTTGTTTTCCCAAATGCTGGATCAAAGTTGACTTCTGAATGTAGTGTCCTATTTTTGCACCAGAAGTGGTGTTGCTCGTAATCAAGACAAAATCGTCAATAAGTTTCGTTGTCATGCTCAGTGCAATAAAAAGATCGACCATAGAAACAGCCTCAAGAATTTATATCTTGGAGATCCAGAAACTACGCATTTCATGCTTAATTAGTCTTACCTCTACATGTCTTCCTTCGTTATACCCCTTTCATCCCATGGCAATTGCAACAATTTCAATTTGTAGGAAGTCCTACACCAAGTGCAACCTTACTTTGTTTGACAAACCTTTAGCTACAGTTACCATATTCCCCTTAGTCACCTTGTGAGAGTATTTGTGATTTACAATTTGGTCCCCAAGATTTACTTCAATTTGTAAACAAATAGTTAAGCTAACACCTTTTTCTCCCATTCTGCCTAGTTTTGCTGTGGCCTAATCTGCTGCGGTTGCCTTATTCTGCCTGATAATTTGTTCTGCGTGCAGCCATAATAAGCATGATCAAATAGCCAAATTTCTTTTACATATTCGTTTTGTACCACCCTGTTTATGTTGCAGTGTGGTTATATATTGGATGTTTTCACGTGTAGAATATAGTACGTTGTATCAAATAATCAACATCATATCAATACGTCAACATATTTGTACAAATTTTAAAAGATTAACCATGATTTTGTTACAAATATAATAATTACAATAAAGTTCCACTTAACATCTGATTAGAAGGTGTAGCTGCTAGAAGTTCCCTCGGCCATTTATTGTTTTTGAGATTGCCTCTCCAGGGTATACGGTATACCATATATTATACATTTGACTAATGATCAAACATTTCCACTTTATGCATGTAGCGTTAATGAATGCACTTTTAAAGGGATTAGGGGAGTATTTTACTCACTGTTTTTGTGTGTAGCCTCCTTCATGAGGTCCTATATGCCGTTAACCAAGTGTTTTGGTGAGGGCATTCTGAGTTTGGGTGTATATATGTTATTTCATTGGTCACTTGTTTCCATTTGTTAAGAAATGGACTGCTGGAATTTGTTATACAACTTATACTGAAAAGTGAAAACCAATCATTTGCTTATGATGTCATGATATGTAGAGCAAAAAAGCAAGGAGATTGAGGAACTACAATCCGGAATAGATGATGGTGACGTGCTGGTAACGTGTAGCTCTTTAGTATTTGTTTTCTGCATTTGGAAAATTGTGCATAATTTTGCATTTGGAAAATTGTGCATAATTTTGCATTTGAAAAATTGTTCATAGTTCTGCATTTGGAAAATTGTGCCAGATAAGAAAAATGGATCTTGAGGCAAGAAGTTTGCAGCCAGGTGTGAAGGCAATGCTGCTTGCCAAGCTTCGTGAATACAAATCTGATTTGACGAAGTTGAAAAGGGAGGTTAAAAAACTTGCTTCAGCTAAATCCAATCAAACTGCACATGAAGAGTTGCTAGAGTCTGGAATGGCCAATGCCCATATGGTAAATTTGCATTCTTGCTACTTTCTTCCCACAACCATCTTCCTCCGCGATTGGATTAAACCTATAAAACTATTTCTAAGCCAATATGCATGAAGTCCAAGGGACAAAATAACTCATGTAGTTTAGATTAGTAAGCTCTATTTTACATTAAACCTTTAAAATATATCGAGTGGAAGAAGATGTTGCAACTGATGGATAATGGCACAGGCTGCTGCAGATCAACGAGATAGACTGGCAATGTCAACTGAGAGACTAAATCAATCTAGTGAGAGAATCAAGGAGAGCAGGAGAGCTGTGTTTGAAACAGAAGAGCTTGGTGTCTCGATCCTTCAAGATTTACATCAACAACGAGAAACTCTCCTAAATTCCCATACAAAGGTATTTTATAAGCGGCTGCAAATTTTGTGGCACTAGAAGAGCATAATCCTATATTCTCCTTAGGGGTAGGTTCATATGAGAATCGCAAATATTTTGAGAACCTGGAAACCAATTATTCATGCTTTATTCCTGATGAAAAATTATTCATAATGGAATATAAGATGATTATTCAAGGTTATTTATCATGAATAATACATGACATTATTGGTTTCTGAGATATCAAATAATAAGATTTAGTATGCTATCTTAATAGTTCATTTATAGTCGCTTTTCTTAGCCGTTGATTTTATATAACCAAGATTTGGGAAGTACCACTTTTAGCAACTTCCGAAATCTACTTCTACGGATTTAATATTCATAAAGTACCAACTTAGCAAATTGCTAAAGTGCTACTTGCGAAATGTTGACATGACAAGTACCACTTAAGCAAGTGGGTAAGTAGCACTTTAACAAGTGCGTAAGTGGCACTTCCACGTGAGCATTTTGCAAATAGCACTTTAGCAACTTGCAAAATTGATATTTTATAAATATTATATTAAAAAAGGTGGATATCGTAAGTTGCTAAAGTGCTACTTGCGAAATCTTGACTATTTCAGTCGATTGATTAGAAAAGTGGCTATAAAACGAAGAGGGGAGGCACTGATGACTATTTTGGACGATTTTCCTATCTTTATTGTTATTGAGGAAAGTGTTTTGACAGCTCCATGGTGTAGACGATGCGATTGACAAGAGTAAGAAAGTGTTGACGGCCATGTCGAGAAGGATGTCGAAGAACAAGTGGATCCTTGGGTCTGTGATTGGAGCCCTTGTGCTTGCAATCATCTTTATCTTGTATTTTAAGCTCTCTCATTAGCAGCAAAGGCACCCATTGGATGTTGTACATATGATGTTGTTATCATCAACCTCATGCTTTTCTGCAATTTAGACATCATCTCTTGTTTCAAGCTTTGTTGTAAAATTAACCTAAAACTTTGAATTCTTGTTCTTACCCTTCATTAGTGTGCATTAATTGTTAATTTGTTGTAAAAATGATAATGCCTTTTCACAAATAAAAATATAGAATTAATATCCGGTTCAAACAAGAAGATTAAATATCGTGAGAAAGTAAGAAGAAGATGTTAAGTGAAGATTCATATTTGAATCATTGAAAAAATCGGAGTTTTTTTAATTTGAAAATGCAAATGTGGACCACTGACCGCGTTTTCAAATTTATTTTTCCATAGTTCATATATGAGTACATTCTTACGTTTTCATGATATTTAGGAGCTGTTTACCTAAACACTTACCCGATAAGCGTTTAACAATAAAATTCAACGCTATTGCTTACTTACCGGGTAAGATTTTAGTCTATCAAAACGACATTGTGTGTAACAACTTACCTGGTAAGCGTTAACCGTGGTAAGAGTTGTCGGCATCACTTACTGGATAAGACTTTCGGTTATTGCTTTCACTCTTACCGGGTAAGATTCTTAGTCATTGTTATATTTATTCAGTAAGGTAATATGACTTGGTAAGCGTTTACCCGAGTAAACATTTGGTAAATGACGTCTTGAATATTTACCTTTTACATTCTTTTAATTAATATATTATAGCTTATTAGCTAGTTTGACGAAAATACCCTTGAAAAACCGTCTGCATAAAAAAATCTGTACCAATAGAATCTCTCACAGATTCAGTAAACCAACTCAGTTTCGTTTCTCCGGTGGTCTTTCAGTCGTTCACGTTGTGGACGGTCGCCACCAACTTCTCCTCTACCTTCCCCCTTGTATAAAACACCACAAGTTTCATTTCATACGCCGAAAGCAAGAAGCTCTATGATGGAATCCCTCTCCTCCGTATCTACCTCAATCGTCTTACCTCCCGGAACTCCCCTTCGCCACCGCCATCACCACCACCGCCGGAGAATCTATCTCCGATCTTCCTCCTTTTCCATCTCATGCTTTCATCCTGATCACCGCCATCGTTCTCGTTCTATCTCCTCCGTAACGTTTTCAAACCCTATACTAAAACCTCCTGGAAGCAGAGTCGATGTTATGATCTGTAAATTGAACGCCGTTGGAAAAGGAGGAGTAGGAGGAAGTAAAGGAGAAGATGAAGAGGAAGAAGACGAGGAGGTGGAAAGGGCGCTACGGTTGGATGGGACCATTCCTGGTTCTTCTAACGAGTTCGTTGAACAAGTTTCATCACGTGCTTACGATATGCGTCGTCATCTTCAACAAACATTCGATAGCAGCAGTTACGATGGTATGATTTATCTCCTCCTCAGCTCCAATATGGTTGTTTTGATCATTAGTTTTCTGAATTATAATTTAGAATCTTCCTTGTGAGGGCTATACAATTACTATTTGTTCAAATCATTCATATTTGCTTGTTTTCGTTAATCTGTCAAGTAATTGTAAATCACTCTTCCACAGATTGATCTTAGGCCAAACACTAAGATCTTGAAATTGAACATTAATGGATTTGAGTGTTGTTCTATGTAATTTTATTTAGTCTATGTTTGCGTAATTTCATGATTTTGCTTTAGAATTTGGAGGTACAGCGAGTTTTGCCGGATTATTGAATTGATGGATTGGAATATGATAGAACAAATAAGTCGAATGGTCTTTTAAGGAGCCCTTTCGATTTATGGAATTTTTATGTATAGCTGAATGTGAGTAGGAGGAGCTGAAACTCCACTCTGCAATTCTATCGTGTCTTCAGCAGTTGCTAAGTAACACCTTTGATTGCGTTCATTCTGCAATGCAACCTTTGTTTCTCCATTTGTCTTTGATGACTTGAGGTACAGAAAAGGTTTGCCTACATCTTACCTTTTAGATATTGGAGGTACAGCAAGTGAAATCCGCTCATATTAAGAAGTGTGGGGAAAACCAATAGAATTTGCAGTTTCCTCATATCCATAGAATTTGCAATTCTAACTTTATCATGTTAGGTAGGATGTTCTACTGACTTCAGATAATGCCCAAGTTATTTGGACAACCATCGTTTGTTTGGATGAGTGCTTTGTTGGTTGAAACCTGAAAGATTACATCCCTGCTGGTAACCTAATTGGGCTTATCACTTGAAACAAGGGCATTCAACACTAGTTGAAAGTTTCCCTTGTCCCTGCTTTCAAGTCAACCCATATCAGAATCAAGTTGCTTGATTAATGGGCTGACTATGCTGGCCTGAGAAACTGAACGGTTATATTAGCTTTACTGGGAGTATGAATTTGGTGGGGACAAATTCAATGAGCCAAGAACAGGTTCGATAGAAGGGTGTTGCTTCGAGGGTTAGAGATCTCTAACAGATTCCCCAAAATTTCTCCAAAATGAAGAACCAAAAGTCAAAATCTCCAAAAAAATAATAATTCATCTCCAAGAGATTCCCCATTTTGGAGAATTCAACATTGGTTAAATATTAAAATATTATTTCTCTCTCTAAATATTTATTTTTAAAGTTTCCTATTGGTGCTCTCACTTGGTAATCATTTTTTGGGTTGATCTCCATATTTGGAGAAAAAACCTTTCTCTCTTCTACTTTCTCCATTTTGGAGATAGTTCTGGGGAAGCTTTTGGAGCAAAATATTGACTCAAAATCCCCATTTTCTCCATTTTGGAGAAGCTGTTGGAGATGCTCTTAATGACTCTAGGAAGCCAAAGCTTGTATAAGATAATCAGTAATGACGCTGCTGTTCACTTCCAATATTTAGACTTAACAAACAACAAATCCAAAAAAATTAACTTCCTCATAAAGATAACTCTGACGAAGTGATCCAGATTTGGTAGAACTTCAGGAAGACATTAGATATCCCTATGAGGCGTTGCACGTTTAACTAGAATGCTCCACTCTTGCCTTTTCTTGCATCTTCCTCGATAACAGGTAGTTGCTCTGCTAAAGCACCTTCTCTCGTGAATAAAAAGTAAGAATCTCATATAGGGTGGATGAGCTCATTTGGATTAGACTGATTTAGCAACCAACAAGGGATCTTGAAGCGCTAAGTGCCCACACATCGGCTTAGAATTGTCCAAGTCTGTAATAGCTGGTTACGGAGCTAAGAACTTGAGGACAGAAAGGAAGAGATAAACAAGATGTTTTTTGGTGAAGTTATAGCTCTATAAAGCCAACTTTCAGGGAGTAATTACTAGGGCCTGACCACCATTATGATGAGAACAACTATTTGCTAAACTCACTTAACAATAATGAAGGTTGATTTAGTATTAGAGATTATATTATATATGCTGGCTGTATAATTTTTCTCACACACAGTCACACAGATACGTTGAGCCTGTCTGCATAATGCATGGTCACTTTTCTTTACCGTCTCCAGAGTTTCTTTTGGATTTCAATGTCTTTTCAACTGTCTTCGAGGGCTCACTCATTATTACAATCTATTGATCCAGTATTGGAGGCCAACCCATGGAGAGAAGATTCGAAAGCTGTTTATGTATTAACTCGCAGGGAAAACCAGCTGTGCACAATGAAAACCCGAATGAACCGCAGGTTTGACTTCTGATATATTGTTAAATTGGAATACATGCAATAGTTGGTATGTATTACATTACATACACACTCTTAAGGTATACATGTGAGTTCTAAAGAGGGGGATAAATGAAAAGATAAACAATAAAGATGTCTGCAAGTGCTCTTTAGCAAGAGAAAGAAAAAAGAGTTTCAGAGATATGGGTTTGTTTTCTTCCTCTTTTATCTTCACAAGAAGAAATATGCCAATTTATCATAGTTTCAAGAACTATAAATTCTATATTCCCGATATTGCTTGCTTCTTTTATCTACTAAAGGCAAACTTGTACGTTGGCATTTGTCCTTTCTTTTGTGCGAGTATACAGACAAGAAACAAATAAATGCAAACTCCCTCTCAAAAATAGGGAGAAGAATTTTTGTATTCGACATCTCTTATTTTCTTCCATAATTCGCACTCCTTGCTTACAACTCCAAACTCAAACATGGAGTCATCAACAGTGAAGTTGAAAGGGAACTTGGGATGTTGTTTTCCAAAGGACGTAAGTTAAGAAATCAAACAAAGAAACCAGCGGCCACTAAATTCCAGATGCTTGTCGAGGATGTGAGGGATGGAGTGCTTGTAAGTTCTCTTTTATTTGGCTCCTTTTACTTTCAATTGGTGATATTTTAAACTTGCTATTATTTGTCTTATATTTTTCAAATGAAAGCTCAAGAGTTGGAGATTAACACCAACTATAACTAATATTCTTAAAAGGTATTTGAAGACGAGAGTGAAGCAGCAAAATACTGTGACCTGCTGCAAGGAGGAGGTCAAGGTTGTGAAGGGGTTGCAGAGATTGAAGCTTCATCAGTAAGAAACATCATAAACCTCAAATCTGCTTTCTTAAATTTTAGTAAACTCTTTGTTCTAAATAAGAGGTTCGGTTTGAGTTGGTGGTTGTAGGATGCAAAATGAAGATTTGGTCAGATTAGAAACAGACACTACTAAAATGTTTAAGTGTCCTAATAAATGACTTCATAGGACTTAAGTTTATTGGACCAAACCAAAAAGCTTCCTATCTAAAAGTGTTAATAATAGGTTTATAGAACACTTTTAGGCGTTTCAGCAAGTTACTTAAGACACTTCTAAAATAAGTGTCTTGTTAGCTATTTTATAAGACACTATTTGAAAAAATGTCCTATAAACACAAGTGTCTAATAAAAGATGGGTTTATAGGACACTTCTCACAAATGTCCTATAAAATAGCGAAAATAAAGTGTCCTGAAAAAACTTGTTAGAATGCCCAAAAGCGTCTTATAAACCTATTATAACACTTATAGACAGGACACTTTATAGTTTGAAGTTCTGTGAAATACTCATGTGCGTCACCACGTCTTCTATCTTGTATATAAATAAATGAATAAAATATTTATTTATTTGCTATTAAGACACTTGAACATTTTAGGCGTCCTACGAAACCAATTTTGTTGTAGTGAGAATAGAATGGTGACAATGTTTGAAAACTTGGACCGTCCTTCCAGATGATAAGTTATCAGATGAACATATCACCGACATTGACTAGTAACATCAAAATTATACAATAATAGTAAAGAACACAAGTATATTGAATATCCATGTTGCAATGATTTGGGTTTATGGATCGATTACCGGGATTTAAAGATTCCAAATAGAGGCTGGGGTTTGTTAATGAAATGAAATGAAATGAAATGGTGCAGGTATTTGATCTATGCCAGAAGATGAGGGCGCTTGCTGTTTTGTTTCGGAGAGGAAGAACACCTCCTCTGCCAGAAAGTCTAAAGCTTAACTTAAGTGCTCGGAAACGCTCCCTTGAAGACCAAGACGATTGATACAAACTCAAGCTACTTGCCATATGGTACATATAACACTATATGTATATGTATATAGACTGTATGTATATAGCCAATTTACTGTTATTAAAAACCACAATCATTTAGAAACAAATCTTCTGCCATATATATATATATAGATTATATACACACATCAATGTTGCTGCAGTTGTGTTAATTTGGATGTTTTTGAAACAAGATATGAAGGATGAAAGTTATTTGAACAAATACAAGTGTGTATCAACTCACTGGTCTTCACTTGTGGTGCAAAACACAGAAAGATGGTGTTTGTCAGAATAAACCCAAAAGGTCCCATACCTTTTACTAGTTTGCTTGCAACAACTGAGAACTTTGAGTTATCCTATAAATGCTTCACTTTTTTTTTTTGTGAATAATTCCATTATCCCAATCCATATATGGTGTTGGTATTAGTTGGGGGTTATTTGATTCGTTTTTATTAGGTGTTTTTATGGGTAAATATGTTTATATTAATAAAGTTTTTTGTGTGATGTATAATAAATTGTTGTTCGTTGTTGTGTTGAATAAACAATTTGAATGTCAGAATTAACCATTTTAACCTTTAATTTATTGACTGAGATAACAATTTGATAAAAATGATGAAAGAGGGGATGGGTAAACTATGAATAAATTGATGAATAGATGGCTTAATCCAAAGGACTCTACTTTTTTTCTATGATGAATCTTTTAGATCGATCTTATTACATCAACCATTATATGTCATATCAAGAACAATAAATAGATGAAATGAAATCATGTGTTAATCAAGTGAAACCAAAAAATAAAAAGAAAATCCAAGTTTATAAAACCTTAAATACGCATCAAGGGGGTGAGGGAGAATCGATAGATTGTAATCGATTTAAAATCCAAATCCCTTGAAACTAAAGTGAACCTAAATTAAATTTCAAAATTCCATTTAGTTTGACAATTTCTCAATTCTTGTTCAGACATTTTGCAAACCAAGGCCATGTCGCCATCTAAGAGCATCTTGAAGATTCACAAAACCAACCATTTTATTTATTCCTTATTACTTAATTCATACTTAATTCATTCAATAACAATTATCATGACATCCTATCAAATTTTTTTAAGCTATAAAATCATCAATTTCATTCCCACAAGTAAACAAATAATATTATATATATATATATATATATATATATATATATAGGGGAGCGATCAAATGCAAACCACTCAATTTGTACAAACCGTACAAACCGCATTCAACCAATCATAATTTTTCATTTTGTTTATTTTTTTGTAATTATGAGAGGTTGATTAATCATTTTTATTGTGGAGGGTGTTA